TTTTTTGAGTTGGAGTCTCACTCCATGGCCCAGACTGGAGTGCAGTGGCCGCTCCCGGCCACCCCAGCCTCGACCTGCTGGGCTCCAGTGATCCTTCTGCCTGAGCCTTCCGAGTAGCCGGAATTACAGGCACACGCTACCATGCCCGGCTGATTTTTTGATTTATTGTAGAGATGAGGTCTTGCCAATTTGCCCAGGCAGGTCTCGAACCCGCGAGCTCAGGCAATTCACTCACCTTGGCCTCCCAAAGCGCGGGATTACAGGCTGAGCCACCAAGCCCGGCTGGTATTACTTTTGAGACTGCTGTGTGTTAGAGTGGGAGAAAGCAAATGAATAATTCTGCTGGAGTTGCTGAGAACTGGGAGTTTCTGCTCGGGAGAAAGGAGATGCAACACGGCTTACCAGAAGGAATTTGGTCCTGAGCTGAGATGGAAAGATTGAACAAGCTCTGTCCCCTGCAGAGGGCTGGGAACAACCGCAAACTCCTCACATCAACACTCCCAGCACCCAGACTGTGATCTCTAAATGCTGTTTCCTACAGGAGAGCCAGGGGTCAGTGGTAGACATGACTCATCCCAAACAGAGAGGTGATACACATATCTTGTCAGTCTGAAGGTGGAAAAGCTATAAGACTGCTGGCACTGTGTCCGAAGGACTTGGGAGCCTGCTGGAGGAGACTCTCACTGGCCAAAGGTGGAAAGTTGAACATCAATAGGGAAGTTCATAGCAGTCGGTTGAAACACTTCAAATATGTTTTAACATTTGACTTCCTAATGATATTTTATTTATCTTTTAAAGTACCTCATTCGTCAGCTTTGGAAGATGCTAAGAACCAACTTACTATTTTGAAATTGACGAGTCAAGAAAGCCTAGTGTTTATCCCGCCAAGGCAGTGTTTGTCTTGACAAAGGCATTCCAGCAAATAGATGCAGAATGAATGATGAAATTAGATGTCCATTTTCCAACCCATTATCAAGGAATGGGTCCAGGATTATTCACTGCTGCTAAGGTCACAAAAATAGAGACAAGCAGAAATCTGTGCCTTCTGATAAAATGTCACAATACTACCTATGATTTGGTCTTGCCAAGGGGGAAAAGGGAACCTGAATTTCTAACTGCCAGTATACAGAAAATTTCAGGCATTCAATCAGCAAAACCTAGACTGAGCTGGACTCGGTGGCTCAGCCTGTAATCCCACGCCTTGGGAGGCTGAGGTGAGTGGATTGCCTGAGCCCGTGGGTTCGAGACCCGCCTGGGCAACTTGGCGAGACCTCATCTCTACAATAAATCAAAAAATCAGCTGGGCGTGGTAGCGCATGCCTGTAATTCTGGCTACTCGGAAGGCTAAGGCGGAAGGGTCGCCGGAGCCCAGCAGGTCGAGGCTGCAGTGGTCGGGAGCAGCCACTGCACTCCAGTCTGGGCAACGAAGTGAGACTCCAACTCAAACAAAACAAAACAAAAAAAAACCCAGACTGGGAAATACTAGAAGACACATATTCCAGTTTTCTCACAGCAAATTGCAAGGAGGAAAAAGAATGGGGGAAATGATACATTAAACTGGACGTGAGATGCATAGGGCCCAGTCACAATGTGTTGACCCTTTTACTTGTACCCTAAGTCGCACAAGGAAGGGAGGGCAGGGGAGGGAAGGGGAGGTGGGGGGGGAGCGGAGGGAAGGGGAGGAAGGAGGAAGGGCTTTCGTACCCTGATGAGCACTCTCCTGAGAGCCCTCTAAGACCCTCCTCCTCGTCCTCTTGGTCTTCCCCAGTGTTGAACATCCAGTGACGATTTTGCCCACACCCACCTCTGCGCTGATGCCACAAGATGGTAATTTTTCAACCTTGCCACGTCCTCTGCACTTGCCAACTGGCATTTGCTGTAGGGGAGCACGTTGTGCCCCTTGTTTGTGACGTTTATAATAGATGAGAGGTAGCATCCAACAGCATCAGGGATTCAAAAGGCCTTAGTCAACAAGGTCTATAATGAGGCAAACTAGTGTTACACTTTTAGTAGCAGCAATGAATCTCGAATCTTTATCTGGAGTCAGAACAAACTTGCTTCTGGAAAGCTCCACGTGGGCATCTCAGATTAAACATGTGTGGCTCAGAGTTCAGTGAACACGCCCCCAACCCGCCTGTCACTCTCAACTCCTCTTGGTGTCCCCAGGTGCCGAAACTGAAGTGGAGGCTACTCTTCACCCTTCCTCTCCCTTCGCCCTCCCCACAGACACCATCTCAAACGGGCCGGACTCCTGTGGGTGGTTCAGCCACACCTGCAGCCCCAAGAACCGAGGCTCTTGATTCCTGCCTGGATGACCACGGGAGCCTCGGAACGGTCTCCCTGCCTCCCATCTTGTCTTCTTTCGCCCACAGAGACAGAGGAGTCTTTGAAAAGTGTGTGTGATCACGTCACTCCTCTGCCTCTGCTGCTCAGTGGTCCCTTCCCTTTGGGGGCCACGTTCCAGTTCCCGAGTGTGCTCTGGAATGTCTCGCCATCTACCCCTTCTCCCACCCTTCCCCCGCCCCCAACATCGTCATAGTCCTCTGTGCTGTCATCACTCTGGGTTTGAGTCCCCAGCCTGGAAGTCATTTCAGATGTGCTTTGGGCTTATCCCGGAGCTTCCCAGTGCCCTCTTGTTGGCTATCATGACCCAGTAGGTAACGAGCTATGAGCAAACATCTAGAATATGAGGGGATTCCTTTTTATTGCAAATAGTGATACACATAGGCTGCATGCGTTTAATCGATTTTGTTTTAAAAACATAAGTTTTTCCCTGATTTGCACATTTTCTAAGAGGAAATGCTGTAGAGATCATTGTGCAGTTAATTAATGTTTAAGGCGTGTATCCTGAAAATATTGCTGGAGGGCTCAGAAATTAAAGCGAGGTAGATACAGAGACAGTCATTAAGGCAGGAAAAGGGCTCTTGGCAGTAGAGTATTGAATAAATAGCAGTGCCATTGGTGGTTAGCATGTCAGGACTTCCACCTTGCACCCACTAAATTCTCTACTTTAAAAGGTTAACGAAGTCTTATCTCTGAGGGCTGCAGTTTCCCGCAAACAGATTCTCAGATTCTGAATCAAACCGTGAGCCTTGGTCAGAACTTTCTGCGACAGGCTGATTTTGAACCTTTGGTGCCATGAATAACAGTATACGAACATCCCAAGTGTTGGCCACCCAGAGCAGTACAATCCCAACTCTCTTTAATTATTTGCTGACACTGCCCCTGGGGTCACCCTGCCTGCTTTGTGTCACAGGTCCAGAATGCCAGGCCAGTGGTCGACACCTGTGCCCCGCCGACGTTCCAACACCTCCACCTGAAACTCAAGAGGCTGAAGGTATGCCTTCACTTCTATCTCTCAGTGAAGAGCGATAGGGCTGCCTAGAAAATGCCAGCTTCAGAGTCCAGGAAAATAGAAAGGCAGACTCCGAGAGGAGCACACAAGTCAACCCCATCAAAGACAACACGCAGGCTAGGCCACCAGTTAACCTCAACTTGCCCAGGGAACTGCTTGGCAATTGCCACGGAAATCCTCCTCTGATTGACAACTAGACCCAGCATGTCTCAGACGCGGTGACCTACACAGCGTGGTTCTAGAATGATTAATTAGCACCATTCCTGTAAACCGAACCATTTCTTAACCACCTCCAAATGCTTGTTTCCTGGAGTTTAGGTCACCTGGTGAGAGTGAGAACTGCACGGTTATGCTGGTTATGCTGGTAGTGATGCCTCCCAGACCAAATGCTGTGTGCTTCTTTTGTGCCTGTTAAGCAACCATGCTGCAAATGGGCTGAGCAGAAGCTAAATGTCCAGTCTCCAGCAGCAGCAGATCAGTCCATTAACAAATCAGAAGCAAGAGGCATGTTCTTTTCCTCGAGACTCAAATATTCTCTTATTAGTATAGTCTAAAAGGTCCCCCTTATCCCTCTTAAAATATCAAATGATTTCCTCACTAGCATCACTGCCACAGTCTGAGAGGGTGACCTGGTTTTTCAAGATGTCTTGTCTCCTCCCTGTCCCTTTCTCACTCACTCCTTCCCGATGTACTCCAGCCCCCAGGTGGCGCAGGGGCTGTGCGTCCCGGTCATTGCTGACGGGACAATGTGACACTTGCGAGCATTCACGTCACAGAAGGCATGGGCGGGGGAGCCTTCAACTGTGCACAGTGTAGCGATGCTCCTCCAGGCTTCCCCTCTGTCCACAGCTGGAGGAGGAACGGCTCTCCGCCATCGAGAGGGACAACCGCCTGCTTCTGGAGAAGGTGGCCTGTGTCATGAGGACCAGGAGACAGACCGACAGCAGAAGCAACTTCACACACAGGAGGTAGCTGGGGGCTCCTGCCATCCATTGTGGGCAACGAGGGGGAGGGGCCGGCAAAGAGCTGAAGAGCTGCCCATGAGTCACAGTCAAGGCGCTTCTGTCCTTTCTCAAGAGGACCACACGAGGCTGGGTGCGGTGGCTCAAGCCTGCCATCCCAGCACTTTGGGAGGCCGAGGCAAGAGGATAGCCTGAGCCTGCGGATTAGAGACCTGCCTGGGCAACTTGGCGAGACCTCATCTCTACAATAAATCAAAAACTAGCTGGTGTGGTAGCACGCACCTGTAGTTCCGGCTACTTGGAAGGCTGAGGTGGAAGGATCACCTGAGCCCAGCAGGTCGCGCTGTGGTGGCCATGGGCTGCCACTGCACTCCAGCCTGGGTGACAGAGTGAGACTCCAACTCAGAGAGAGAGAGAGAGAGAGAGAGAGAGAGAGAGAGA